ACGTATCTTATGAGTTAGCGATAAAAAATACTTCAAAGAAAATAACCCTTGGTAAACTTTCCTGGTAGTACATTATTTAAGAACTCTTTCAACTGTGTGTCTCAAAAGATGTGAGGGTAATGTCTTTAATATACTTCAATCCGTATCTAACTTGAACTTCATACCTTGCTAGTATGAAAAACTATGGTTGGTTCAGCGATGAACTAATTATTAATCTCATTTATTACTCAGTACTCTGAGGTCAAAGCAATATACTTAAAGCAACTGGAGTATCATTATCAGTTCAAACTATATTAATAAAACAGCTGAATTTTCTCATTCCATGCAATGATATACTATTATATACTATATTTATTTCGATACTTACTATGTTTGAAAAACCTCTGCCTTTTCTGGTTATAGATCATAACTCTGGCGAAATGCCAACTTGGTAAAATGTAAATCCAATGCCAATTTTAATCTACTTTTGAGGCTGCTCTAAAACACCACATTCTACAATCTAAAGTTTTATTTAATTCGTGACATTTTTTCTTAACCACTATTATTTGCAATTGGTAAACGCTTTATTATTTACTTTGAAGACTTAAAGCGACTTACACTCACACTTATTCATTAAGATTGAATAAAAAAGCACTAATTCAAAAGCTGCTGCGATCATTTACTCGCCGAAAAGTCTTGGAATCTTACGACGGATTTCAATGCGGGCTTAGAATTAATAAGGAATTGCAGTCTTTTAGGTTTTGTCTTTTGACATGCGCCGTAAAATAATAAAAATATAATCTATATATTCTAAATATTAAAATAAGTGTTAAATATAATAGACAGAAATGCCCATAATGTAAACATAAGAATATTCTTGGTTCCAACACTCGGACAACGAACCGAGAATTCTATTACTCGATGATCTGGTGCGGGACCAAAACAAAGCTATTTCCGATTCAATCCATAAAAGAACAAGCAGAACCAACAGATGCTACTTCGTCTAAACCAGTTTGGATTGTCATTTAATAAAAAAAAATTATAATACATATTATGACACTGAATTTGATTTATATTTCGTTTAATCTATGTGCACAATAAACCAGCTCAGATATATATGGAAGACATCACTATCTTTTTGATCGTCTACGAATGTCAAAGGTTCTACTTACCAATATAGAAAAAATAACAAAATTAATGAAACAGACGCAGATGTGTAGCTTTGGTAGTTATATGGCTTCATTCCTCTACCAAATTTCGTTGAATGACGCACATAAGGTCCCATTGAACCTGGCAAACATTCCACCTTTGAATCATTTACCCGTAGATATTGCGTTTAACACCGACGTCCAAACATTGCACTAAATCTGACTAAAGCTGTATTTGATACCGGAATATCTTGTCGAAAAGATAATTCCTGTTACATTATTTAGCTTATCATATTGCAAATCAAATACTTCATGAGGATACTTCAATGCAGTTAATACAAAAATCAGCTAGCTTATTTATAGCTTTAACTTGTTTTTCAAAAAGAATATACAATGTAAATATGTCTAGCATATAGAATGAGAGTTTTGTTATAGTTTGGATTTACTTCCAAAAATTTAAAACTTTAAATATTCTAGCTACTTTAAACTACTCGTAGAACAAGGGCCAACTTCAAATGACCCTAAATATCGATTAAAAGCCCCTTACGTTTTTTGTTGAACCCTCGGTTTGAGAGGTAATTCAAATATTTAGTTCGTTACTTGGGTTCTAGGCCAAATATAAATTGTAAATAAACGTCCGTTTAACTAAAAAAAAAGCTTGTATAAAGTACCCCCTGAATAAATGTACCTCCTACAACCCCTCAAGACATCTTGATTTCCCCTAAATTTGGAGGAAAAACGCTTAAGGCACTGAATAGTGTGTGTAAGTGAATACTCAGTAAGTCTTACTAATACTCACTAGGAAGTCTGTTTGATATTCATCCATTCATAAATGTTAGCTTAAATTTCGTTTCTCTGAAGTGCTGCCCTCTGTTGGCGAATCCCTCAATATCCGAACCACAGATTGGATAACTTATTTGAATAACGTATGGAGTTAAAAAGAAATGGAATATTTAGATTATTTGATCTAATTTCCCGATAATTTATTTGCGTGGGGGTGATTATACACCAATAAAAAAACATGTTTTCACCAAAGAGTTTACAAGTAAATTATAGTAAAGCAAAATTCATACTACAGCTTTGGGTGGACTGCAAACATAATGTTTGTAATATGAATCATAGTACGAACAAATCTTTTCAATAAATTCAGTAACATTTTTATCACAAATATTTAATTTATATAAAAATTTGGCTCAATTGTCAGTGTAATTTGTGATTATTTGTGCCGTGACGGGTCACAGGTGGACTCCTGTCAAATTTCATACCCTCATCAAATTGTCAGACGTTGGTGTGTACCTTTCATTTTTATTTTGTTATAAAAAATAACGATTGTTTATGTAAAAACGTTTTAAGTGTTATATTTGTGTTTAGTCCAAATTGTAGATTTTTATGTAAATATATAGAAAGCAAAAAATTAAAGTGTAATATATTATATTAATTATTCATAAATAGTATTTAATAATGTTAATTACTCATATTTGTGTTGTCTGTGCTGTCTTAAAACTAACAATCGAATTTCAACAATTTTTTTAGATGCAGATTCAAAATTATCTTAATTATTATTTTCACCGATCAATCTCCTTCGTGCCTTCTCCATCTACACGACGCTGGCGAAGTACCTTGTGCCCAGTTGGCACAAATAAAAGCCATAAACAAGAAATGGATTGAATGTAGAAACGTAGCCTCTATAAAATTAAGTTATTTGTTTCATTTTTCCTCAAATTTAAAATTGAATATAGTATGCGCGAAACCAAACAACCTATGTAATATGCAGCATACAATTAACTTCTACTATTAAAAAAACTTCCAGATTGACACAAGTTTAACTAAAAAAAAAAATAAAAAAAATCAGTGGCGCTACAACCTCATTAGGTCTGGGCCTGAGACTTCTGAATCTGTTTCATGATCATTTTCTAATCTAATAGGCAAGTAGGTGATCAGCCTCATGTGCCAGACAGAGGCCGTCGACTTTTTGGGTCTAAGACATGTCGATTTCCTCACGATGTTTTCCTTCACCGTTTAAGAGAATGTTAAATGCGCACATAGAAAGAAAGTCCATTGGTGCACAGCCGGGAATCGAACCTACGATCGAACCTACGGTTAACAGTCGCACGCTAAAGCCACTAGGCCAACACTACTCAAGTGTCACAAGTTTAACTATTTCAACTTTAAAATTACTATTTTAACTATAAAAAAATATCGGCGTGTCTTAGAACAAATATACCTTCTATGTTTGTCTACTACAAAAACACGTCCGTGATAGCCCTTGCGCTAATAATATATATTGTTTTGCCGGGAATCGAACCTATATCAAATTCTCTCTTCGTTAATGTTGTAAAGACAGCAGGCACTTTTAACATAAACTATACTAGATTATAAACTTAAGATAAAGAAAGATCACTTTCAAGAATTCATATATCAAACTTTATTATAATTGATTTAAAAAATACTATAAATATAATTCTATTATTTGTATACAAAACTCAGCGTGAAAAAGCGTAGCATCTCCTCGCATTTGTAGTATTTCTAGGGATTCTTTTCGCTATTTCATTATACACAAGATCCTATCCCAGCTTTGAATTTCTTGAAAATACTGTTTTATTAAAGCTTCTTTAAATGCCTTTAATCCAGATTAAAACTTCTGGAAATTTATACAGCTTCTAAATATTCGTAGCCTAGTAGCTGTGCACTGATGGTTTTTTCCTTTATATCCTAAGAGCCTGCTCGGACCGGGACTTTCATGTAAAACCATTATAAAGACTTTTTCAGGTCCCCAAGTAGTATCTAAAATTTAGCTTTTATACTCTAACGAAAGTATAATTATAATTTATTAAAGTTTAGGGGTGTCTGGCAGGGGGTAGCAACTGTCATAAGTGTCTGGCAATGGATGTCGAGATTCCTTAAGTTATCCCTAATAAAATATAAAAAAATTGAGACTGAAAAAGAATTGAAATTGAAAAAGTGAACGTACATAATGATTCCAAATTTAAATTTTATTTTTGTTCTCAAATCAAGGGCTTCTCTACGAAAATAACTGGCAATGAAATGTTCACCAATCTTTTTCATCGCCAAGTTTTTGCTTACGTATTTTTTTTTTTTTTTCAATTAAATTGAGTTTTTGTAGCCGAAATAAATGTAGGTTTTAATAAACGCCGCGGTGATGACGAAATATTGAAGTCAGGAGATCTTTATTCCTTTTGGTAGTTGCAAAGTAGATCCAGTAAATGATCACTTCGTTCACTTGGAAATAGTAATCTTAACCATTTTAAATGATACTTCAGTACATAATCATATCATTAAGTAAGGAATAATTAAGATTTATATTAGTAAAACAATTTCCAAAATCACTTAATTAGTTCTAGTGAATCCTACAAAGTCAAAAACTTTTTTTTCCATTAATGTAGATTATAGCTAAAAGATTACACTAATATAATATTAAACTTATAGAATTAATGTTATTCATGAAGATATACATCATAATATAAATTGAAAATTAATTTGATTTACTTCGTGGGTAAAATAAAAGAGGCTGTTGAACCGCAAGAAATTCGTTTTATTTTCTTTTGATATTTATTTCAAGTTCAAAAGCTAATTCAACGTGAATAGTTTAAAATATTCTACGTAAAAGATACATTCAAAATTTTTCTTCAGTGCCTTTTTAGTTATTTAATATTTAACCTATGTCATCATATATCAAGGAAAAACTATAAAATAAAGTATTTCGAGAATTTTTTTCATACTGAATTCACTTATTTTTCGTGTTTATATTTAATTACTTTGTTAATATAAGAACATTTTAGTAAGAACATTGGACATGCGTTATCCTCAAATTTTAATTGAAATAATTATCGTAATCCTAGACATAATAATGCGTTATATAAAGAACAAATTTCCAAAATGCGTGAGTTCCTCCTCATCAGATGCTATACTCGTATCTGGTGTGCGTTCATGTACGTAGTGATAAGTAGCTTTGCCTGCAAATAATTCAGGGGTTTTTTATAAAGTTTGTAAACTATTTATTTATATCTGGCAACTATAAAAATTAAATAAAAAGATAACTGATCTGACTTACTTAAAAGTTTGCACATTTCCTATTCAATCTATTGTTATTACATGTCCTGACAGTTTACATCAAACCGAACTAACAATTCTGTCTACCCATCCTGGCTTGGCACGGCTAAATATTTTATTTGGAAAAATATAGCCTCACTTAGCTATAATTTACTATTCCAATGGTGAAAAGAACTTAAAAAAATCGATTTGGACTAATTTAATATACAAAATATAAATACTAATATTTCCCCTTTATAATATTAGTTCATAAATGGAATCAGTCACCACTCACCATACTGTTTCAACCGGAGCCCTGAAGAAACGTCAACGTGTAATGACTGATTATGTTTAATATCTCAACGAATCAGTAAGTGTCAAAATTAACTAAGGGGTTCTTTGGTTTTCTTATTTGGTGATTACGTCAACAGTAATTATTTACTTTTTTATACATATTACCGACTGATTGTCTATGCTTGTAAACCAAATGCATTTTCGAGGATTCCCACAAAAAATTTATACGTTGATTTACTATTACTTTTGAGAGCATTGCTTACTTTTGCTACTGCTGGAGGGGGGGAATAAATTGCAGAAAATCTGCTTACGTACTACTTGAACGGCTCCTTAAGTAGCAGGAAACTAATAAATAATAAAAAAAAATTGCAGAAATGTCCTTACTAGTTATCCAATTTGATGCAAGACGTTGTCTTCTCCAATCCAGCATTGATTTCCAATGTGGTGTGGCCAGAATTGGAATAATCAGCTTAGCTGATCTAGCTGTACTCAGTGGTTCATTGGTAGAAGTCACTTGTTCTTGAAGTAATGTAACCATAGGCTTTGTTACTGGAATAGGACTCGTTTTGGTTTTTCCTGTAAAATAATTTAATTTATGTGCACTTAATTCTTTATCCTGGAGGAATTTTATTTATGGAGAAAATATTGCTTCAAGCATAATCAACAATAAATCCGTCTAAATGGGCTCTTAACTAAAGTACTCTTTGTCTGTGTCTGTCAAATTGTATTTACGCTGTGAAATGGTGCAATTATACTAATTTAGTATATTGTTTTATATGGTAAAACGTGGATACTACAGATAAATTGTTGCTCTGTAATTATTGTTTTTAAGAGCAGGGCCTGGTGCCTTCAGCGTGCTACTCTCATTCCTGAGATCGTAGGTTCGAATCCTGGTTCTGCAACAAGGGACCAATGGACTGTCTATGTGCGCATATACACTCAAACTCAAACTCAAAAATATCTTTATTCATATAGGTAAACAAGTACACTTATGAATCGTCAGAAAGAAGTTAAATTAATTGTAAATTTACATTTACTACCAGTTCGCAAGTAAAGGGCGTAGAGCGGGTAAGAAGAACTGGCAAGAATCTTTCCGCCACTCTTTTTAATCGCTAAGTATTGTGTCATACAAATTGTTTCAACTGGAGCAAATCAATTGCAAGGATTAGGATCATTCATCATCGTTTAACGAGTGCTCGCTCACCGTATTAAAAAAACAACGTTCAGAAACCGGCATGCTTTTAACCAAAATAGTCGACGGCGGGTGTCAGGCAGAAGATCACCTTTGTGCCTATTAGAAAAAATAAGCGGTCACGAAACATATACAGAAATATGAGTTCCAGACCTTAAAAGGTTGCAGTGCCACAGATGTTTTTGTTTATAATTATTGTTTGTTACCGGGCGATGGGGTATTTCACTGATAAAATTTTAATACCAGCTGCCAACCACCATACGCAGAGAAGTTAAATTATCTTTAATCATTAATTAATATTTAAAAAAAAATTACTCGATTAGGTAAGGACTGATTCACCGATATAGGGCAGAGAATGTCATTTTAGTTTAAATTAATTTGGTTAGCTTTACTAAAACACTTTTTTACTAACATTTTTAATCAGTTAAAAATCGATTGATCTATCTATTAATATTTGAGATGATGATCTGTTTATGATTTCGGAATTGAAACTTAGGAGACAGTTCAAATTACATCGAATTAGCAGATTTTTAGATCCCACGAAATTCTAAAGGGTACTTCATGTACTTGCACATTACTATTTTGAGAGGTACATGTAGTTCATTTCCTTTGAATAATTGTAATGTAGAGGGAGAGTAAAACTTGCTGAGTTTCTTGCCCGTTCTTCTCAGAACAAGGCCTCCTGTTAGTTTTGCGAACGGATAACGTAGTCTTGCTCTTTCGCGAATTTTATAAACGTTTTTGACATTCATAAGCATGCGCTAAAGGTGGGAACTGACCAACGTTACGAGGTGTAATGTAACACGTTACAGAGCGAGCATTCGTGCAGTCAGTACGTCGTGTTACGGGGAAACCAGCGAGCAACGAGCGGCTCGTTGCTCGCTTTGAGTGCTCCACTTGGCTGTCGGTTTTTTGGCGAATCCTTTGAGTGTTACTCGTTTCGGTCAGTACGCTCTTGCAAGTCGTCCCAAGCGCACGCGCTTCGCGAGTAATCACACGTCGTTCCTTTCGTATTTATTTCTTATAACATGCAGTGGGGCAAAGAAAAATCTATGAGGAAGTGTTGTGGAACCCAGCTCATCCAGAGCATTATAACAATTAAATTCACGAGTTGTTCAAAATCGATCGGAGACATGCGTTTAAAGTTTTTATACTGTCCAGTAATCATATGGTTTTTTTAAAATTGCTATCAATGACAAACCACCACATACGCCTCTGTTTTTAAATAAGTTTGATGTCCAGTAACGTTTTTTCTTCTTTTTAATTTGGATGAAACAATAATTAAGTAGAATCAAAGATACCAACACGTCTTCGCTGTCGGCCATCTCGTGAACACTGGCGACGAAAGCGGAGCACAGAGTTTTGACGAGCATGTTACGCCGATTTTGAAACACAGCGTAACATGCTCGATGCGTAACACGATCGATGCGAATGCCACATTACACCTCGTAACTTTGGTCAGTTCCCACCTTAAGACGCATCTAAATTGAATAAACGTATTTTGATTTTGATTTTGATTGATTAAATTTCAACGGAAACAGAACAACTAATAACTGTAATTCTAAAAACAAAAATTTAAAACTTTCGGCCAACCCGATTTTGTGTAATTCTACATTTTTGGGTTCTATACATGTTCACTCTTAAAATGCCAGCCTTTCTGTTAATTAAATACATAACAAGACCCTTCTCATAAAAATATTTGTTATACCCTTTCACGGTTTCCACCTCATATGATACAAAATAAACAAAAGGTTTAATTAAAATTCTGAAACCTTAAATGGGCCACTGAGGTTCTAAAATGGCAAGCTATATAATTAATTAGCCAATATATTATAATAATACTTTAAAATTCACGAAACCGTTAAATTTTTAAAGTAGTTAAAAGATTTTTCCCTTTTTACAAACTGGTAAAGATTATCGGAGGTCAATATTAAAGGTTACCGATATTCAAGGAATTTGTCTTTCTTACGGGTGATTTTAAATCTTCAATAATCCAATGTATATTATATTTAAAAAAAACATCTGTATCTCTTTCGTAATCACTGTTCTCTTAATAGGCACGTAGTTGTTCAGGCTTTCTTCAAAAAGTCCGTTGGTGCTTAGCCGTGATTAGAACGCACGTATCGTTGTGTATAACATTGTTTTGACTTTGGTGTGTGTGTTAATGAATTAAGTATCATGAAAAATCATGATCTCCAACAACTTACCAGTTCGTCCCAATCTTCGTATTCTCACTGGTCGTTTTATTGCTTTTATCATATTATTCCATGCATTGCTGACAGCATTCTATAAAACATGTAAATTTAAATTTAAATGAACTTATTTGTCCCTTTCTGTCAAGTTTTTTTTATGAAAATGTTTAATAATATATTTAACGAAGCAAATAAATGCAAACAATCGAATCCTTGCTACAAGAATTTAATATCGAACGTACTTTAGTCATACGATAAAAAAAAATAACAGAAAAACAGTAACTAACCTTAAAATATAATAACTAAAATATATTATTAAGGGGTCCCTTTAGGCAAGGTTCCGAAGATACTGGCAGCATTCCCCCTTAGACAAAAGCTAGACTAAATCATTGTCCGAGGTAGCTGCCAGCTCTTCGGTCTCCTGTGATGTCGACTAACCTTTTTACTATTTCCTTAAAAAGCCTTATAACGCTAGGACCTCACGGACCAAGGGTCTCGACACCGAATGGGACAAAATCATATTCAGAGCCTAGACCCCTGTATTTGTATGTGTGTATAATAATTATAAAATCATATTTTGTACGTAATATTAATATTTTTCATATAATTCAAACAGCCAACAGTTAATCTAAAGTTAAAATGTACCGACTACCTTACCCCTATGTCTGATGGTAAATTTGCTAAGAACTCTTGAATATCACACATCACTGTATCCGAAATTAATAACATTAATAAAAGTCTACACGTTGTTACACAATGAGAGCCCATTTCACAATCGTACGATGAGCAATAACATTGCAGTTACATTATTATTTTAAATATTTATATTTCAAAAGTATATTCTGTGAATTGGTTTTGTTTTAGAAAGGCCCTTTTGTACAGAGTAATAATCGAATGAATATATAATTCAACCCGTATTACGACGTCCAACATTCCATAACTGAGCTTTTTAAGGCCGTTTTTCCGCGCACTACCACTATGTGAAACCAGCTGCTCACTGAAGTATTTCCGAACCAATCAAATACTAAGGGCTCTTCAAAAGCGTACCAATTCCTAAAAAGGCCGGCAACGCGAGTCTGGCAGTAAGAGTCTTCATGGGCGGCGGTATCACAATCAGATATATATATATATATAGTCTCACATCTAAGAGCTACATACGAATTTAGCTTCATCCTATTCAGTCTTTTGCATTTTAAATACACCATAATGTGTGGTCAAAGTGCTTGTGCATATGCCATTCATGTATATACTCAAACATCAGTGTATCTGATTTTAAATACTGCGCCTTTCAATATAAAATTATAAATCCATACACATAATAGTGACCCGGTGGGGAGACACAATTAGGAAACGATTCAGAGGAAGACCACTCACGAGATGGTCGGATGATATCATCAAAATGGATGGCTCGAGCTGGATACAGTTTACCTATGATACAGATACCTGGAGATCCTTGGAGGAGGCCTTCAAGCGGAGGTTTTCTTGCAAACTAATTAGAAATATGATATTATATACTACATATATTTTTTTTTATTTAGTGTCATTTAAAATAATGTATTATGCAAGAAATAAAAGGCTTTTTTTTTTTTTCATTATTTATTATACACATAAGTGTTTTAATTTGAACGGAACTCCAGCTACTTCACGGGATTAGCATTAACAATTATGTTAATATTGTTATTGCCATACAAAAAATATACCCTGATTGCTTTACAGAAGCACTTAATGCCAGACATTAGTGTGACATGATAAATATCTAGCCCGCTGTATTCGCGACATTGTTACATAGAGCCACAACACACAGAAATATTTCGTTTATTTACTAAAAGAAATTATTATTACATTCATACCTATATTTAGAAAAACGTTTAAATAAATTGAACCAAATTTTTAAAGTTCCAGGCAAAGTGAGAAAGACGTAAAGAACGTTACAATTATTTAGTAAAATGAGGAATTTGCAATAATCCTTTATTCCCAAAGGTACACTCTCTTTATACGCTGTTAATCGCATTTTAAGGTACATTTTTAGTGTCTAAAGGGTGCAATATTGCGTACTCACTCCCAGAGTTCGAGCAACAGAATAAGTTTCCTGCTTCCATTATAGGCCGGGATAAAATTCCGGGATCATAGGAAAAAACAAAACAAGTGTTTTAAAAAGTATTATTATTAAAATCCCGTTATGATTCAAAGGTCGTTATAATGCAATTTTCAAAAATGGAATGTTATGTCATGATGATTGTAGAACAATAGTGGCAACCCGGTGGGGGTCTTCCCTGAGAGATGCGACCTCCAACTATTCAAAGTTAGATTGTACTCCTCTCTCAAAGGCCGGCAATGGGTGTCCATGGGCTGCGATGACTGCCCCCTTTAGGCGTCTCGTAGGCTCGTTTGCCCCCTTTTATATAAGAAAAAATATATATGCAATACAATTTATGTAACGTTTTTCATATGTATTTAATTTATGTTTCTTTAATAGATAACAAAACAACTTATAGCTCGTAAATCAGAATTCACTTGTATAGTATTTACTATATTCTTAACCTACATAGTATATTATAATAATAATCAATATATAATGATTTTTATTTTTTTTATGTTTCTTTAATATTCTATCTATAACTTTATTACTCTGTACCGCTAGTTCTGAACATGCCAGCTTGACTAATGGCTTGTATAGGTAATATGTATGTTATTGTAAGTACTTTACGGCACAAGATCGGTAGATAATGTGTTTTTTTTAATATTTCATATTGGTTCGTTAAGACAAGAGATAAAAGGATTAGATTCAATGTATGTATGTATGTAATATAAATGCTTGCCAATGCTCGGCACACTGATACAAGATAAATACAATATTTAATGTGACAAGCAGTTATAAGCAAACATAATAAACACGAAGAGATAAAAAAAAATATTAAAAAAACAGAATGTGATTTAATGGATATATAATGTTTATAATATTTCAACCACTACTCATGGTTGGGGTAGTTGAGTTGTTTTTTCAGTCTCCAAAAAAGGTTGAGTTTATAGCTGGTTTGGTATGTAGCTAATATTTTCTATAGAAAAAAACGATTAAATAGACATTTTGTTTTAATTATTATATTTAATGTCATTATATATCTCCAATATCCGTGAAATAGACTATAATATTTACCCTGCGGTACACTCCATCAAGAAGGATATGAGATTTAACACCTTACCTTTGCAATTATAAAAGTAAAATTCACATCGCATAAGTCATAGATGACTGGCTAAAAGGATTGAGTTTCTGCTACATTACATCGGTGAAAAAACACAAAGTTTCCCTTCGCGAATAAAAGCTTTTTCGCTCAAGAGTATCCTTCAAAAGTGAGAGTCACCTCCCCACTAGTTAGGTGAAACTTGAAGTAAAGAGGAATACATACTGAGAACAAAGTAGCCACTAAGTTATTTTATTGTGTATTGTAGAGAAACTCCAAAGGCGAGACTAGAAACAATTTATTTTCCTTATAACAACCAACAAACACTGGGAGCAAAAATTTTCCCGAATCTAATGTTAGCCGTTACATATTAAGTAATGCCACGTAGCTCTGCCGGAAATGGGCCTTATCCCATGACTAGCACAATCCCGCTAGTAGCTCGTTCCGGCGACCTATACAACCTAAGCCAAGCCTAACTCACGCGCAAGGGCGAACAATGTTGCCATTGTATAAAAGGTCCTATTTTTCTTTTTATAAATGGAAATGACATTATTCCATTATATCATTCCCATCATATTCCATTTAATCAATGAAATTATTGACACTGTGTCAATATTTCTAAATAAAACTAACATCATATTATAGTACATCTTAATAAGAATATATATGTATAAAGAAGTCTTAGTTATGTAGACTCTGTAATCGATGGAGACATGAAACATAACACATAGGAAACTCTTTATGATAATTGCAAACTTTTTGTGCACTAAGCACGCTGTGTCGTTTGAAAGAAACATCCTTGCAAGAAAGGTGCTTTAATTAAATAAAGTTTTCTTTATTGGTTATATATAGTAGGTTCAGTTGCAAGTACTAACTTTAACACAGGTTCTGTAATATTATGTAAAAACGTTTGAAAAAATTGTATTATCTCGAAAATTTTGAAATGAACCAATGACATGACTAAAAGTTGTCAAATACAAAAATGGAGTGGTTAAATTAAATAAATAATTTTGCTCCCAGTGTACCTCAATCCATGACTCAGCACTGCAACAACTTCAGAGAGTGTTGGTGACTTTTGAACTCACAAACGTCACCGCCCTGAGTGCTTGTACGCCATGTACTCAGTCTATTCGGATTCTTGATTAAAAATACATCCTTGGCACTGTTATATAATAGATATTCAATATATAGGATGACGGCAGTATTTTACTTATGTTTATGCATAAATACTACGCGTGCTTTTAAATGGCTTACCCAGTCAATAGCCTAACGTTAACCAACATAAAAAGTAAATTGAAAAACTATTTTTATATGCATTTGTCACGTTCCCAAACAAGACTGCTATGGTAACATTAATACAAACCTCAGCGGTTTTCTAATGTAACATATTATAATTTTAAAATAAATAAATTAAAAAAAAATTACTCATTCTTTTAACGACTCGAGATTGATTCTCTTTTATTAATTAGCCATGTATCATAAGTTTTAAATATCAAAACGTCAGCGTGACTGTCTATTTATGTAAAATTATATTTTTACTTTGTGTGAACATAATACAAATGAATCGTGAATAATAGCAAAAACAGCCTTGCGATTCTGTAACTCACTTTTCGAACTCTAACAGCGGTTTTCGCAGCGGCGGTCGCGCTCAATTCAGTCCTGAAGCAGTCATTTTACGACTTAGCATTCTGATAAACAATAAACTACAAGCTCCCTCCGCTTGTCAAGACGTAATGTGAAATTGCTTAACAGAATACCATGAGATTCCAAAAATGACGTGAGTGACGAAGGGAGCGTTGTTAGTGCGAGGTGAACTCACGGATTAACAGAATCACACGGCTGATTTGGTTAGATCAAGCCTGATTGTATTTTTGTAAGGAGCGGTTTTTATTTGCTTTGTTAAGTGCAGCAAATGATCAGCGAAGATGCCGTTTTCTAGATCGAAATCTAGACTAGATCGATTCGCTTACGAACTAAGTATAGTTGTAGTTACTGCGTGTGTCTATTAAAGCGTACGTAGCACTGGAATCTACACATATAGGTTTATAGGTATAAGGAAAAATACATAACTAATTATATTTATCTTCATTTTATAATTATTTTACACTATGTTTCAAGTTGCGATCATCAATAGTCGTTATCGTATTGCCGTCCTACTCGCGGTGGCGATGTTCTGTCTTCTGCAAATAATATATAATATATAAATATAAATCATTTTCTACGAAAAATATACTTTTATTTCCACATTATCTAAATACCATAAAGAGAGTCTATCAGCTTAAATTTTATAGCTATTGTATTGTCATATATGCGTTATAATTTATTAATTCTTCGTCCAGCTCTGTTATCTTAAATTTAAATTTGTTAACCAAGCAGTTTACCATTATATTACATCGTTTTATTAATGAAAATACCATGTAATCAGTGTTTTTAATTCAAACCCAATAATCAGCTAATCCTTGCGCTACAACCCTTGATCGCTAATTAATGTATTTGTTTCGTGCACGTAATTAGCCTTCTACGAGTATGTGTGACATCCGCCAAAATGTTTTGGGTCTAAGGCATGTCGGTTTCCTCACAATTATTTTCCTCCACCGTACGAACGAGTGTTCAATGTACACACATAAAGAAACAGTCCATAGCCGAACAACATGTCGTTAAAATAAAAAATAAATTTATAATAACGTGCTTGTAGAACTAAAAATAATTAAGAGTAAATAAACATACCATAATATTGAGTTCGTAGCGGTGAGCGTAGTAGCTTTTCGAGTGCGGTTACGTCCTGTGGTTGCCTTTAATATCGGAGCAAATAACGTTTTTAATTAAACACATATAAAATACATTTATGTTGGGTTAAATCCTGTGATAGCATTATATGATTATTGCAGAATAACACTGTAACTTTAAATTAAACGAATACAAATGAATTAAAATGTGAATCGTTTGGTACTGTTTTTGACAAATAAGAGCCAATAATAACCCTAATGGTAACAAATAATTCATATTATTTAAAAAATGTTAATAATTTAAGTTTAAGTAAGTGGCACATAATATATAAATAATGTGATATTCTTAATAGTAGTTCAATTGTCTCACTGACGTTATAAAATAATATTTTCTTGTTTTGTTTTTTTTTTCAGATTAAGTCAAATACAATCATTATATTTATTCATATTGGTAAAAAAATTATTCACACTTATGAAGAAAAAACTGTCAAGAAACTCAGCCAGCTTTAATTGGTTTAAATTATTAGTGTACAAAGAAATTATATGGAACTGCAATAATAAAGTAACAAGTGCTTAGCATTAGCGGGGAAAATAGAAGCATTTACATTATGGCGAGAACAAAACAGAATTCTAATGGCGTAAATAATAACATGAGACTTTTATCTTAGAGCTAAACAAAATACTTACTCATCTACTGATACAATAACTAGAGGTGAACTTCGGGTGAGATCTTCAAAGTCGGTATTATCATTAATTCTATCTTCATCAGTCCTCGTTAGGTACTGGATCAATTTACTAATGTCGTCTGATTTAGACTCTTTATCATCGAAACTTACAATATCATCATCTCGACTTAAGTGATCTAGATCAGATTTTTTGAAATCATTTCGATCTTTTGAATAAATTCTATTGGAAAAAGTGTGTAGTTTATTCGAAGGTTTTACTTTTTCATTTGCGGACAGTAGCTGTATTAATCTATCAAGGCTTTTTAAATTTACTTTTTTATGAATTTTGGATATTTTTGCCATAAAATCATCTTTTCGTGTACCATCTGGGTCATAGTAGTGGGTATCGACATCACGGTTTTCATTTGATTTTCTTATTTCGTACACTTGGATCCTCGGTTGGGGATAGGCTTCAGTTTCTATTGATATTGTGGCTAAAAGAAAATGATGGAAAAATTATTTATTATGATAAATATTTCTACACATGAGCCATTTCTGTAACTGAATAAAAAAATACATATTTTAATACTAATGAATGTTTATTTATTTACTTAAAATAAATAAATCAGTGGCGCTACAACCTCTTTAGGTCTTGGCCTCAGATTTCTGAATATGTTTCATGATCATTTTTAAATCTCATAGGCAAGTAGGTGATCAGCCTCCAGTGCCTGACACACGCCGTCGACTTTTTGAGTCTAAGACATGTCGGTTTCCTCACGATGTTTTCCTTCACCGTTCGAGCAAATGTTAAATGCGCAAATAGAAAGAAAGTCCATTGGTGCACAGCCGGGGAACGAACCTACGACCTCGGGGATGAAAGTCTTGGCACACAAATAAGCAATAATATTATTATTTGGATAAACTACAAGTTATGTGTGGCCTCGGTAAAAGGTGCGGACGTCACGTACACAAACACAATGTTAATATTTTAATCTAACAATCACATACAAACTAAAAATTACAAAAGATCCTTATGATAATTTTAATAAAATGCCCTTCCTGAACTCGGATAGGCGAAAAAAGGCCTCATACTTGTGTTTCTGTTTTATGACCGTTTGTGTTTACTGATCTGTAAGTAGGAGCCTTCTGTGATTAACACACGCCGCCGACTTTAGGATCTAAGTCTGGTTCCTCACGGTGCTTTCCTTCAGTCAGATAGTCCATTAGTGGAAAGCCGCGGTTCAAATCTACGACCACAAGAATGAGAGTCTCACGCTGAAGACACTTGGCTTGGCTACTCCTACTTCAATGGACGATCAAAGAAAATATATATTTAATAAAAAATATTTATTTTAAAAATAAAATTCATAAAACTTACATAAGAGTAACACAATTAATCGTTTCATACTGGCCTCGTCCGTTCAAAGGCTGATATTAAAAAGGTAGATCGAATTTAATTTTCTTTATGGTTTTTTTACGACTAGAACCGGCGTTTATCTCTTTTCGCTTCGCTTAGCCATAAATTTGATATTCTATGTTTTAAGAACTTTATGTAAAAATCTGCAATTGCTAGGGTTTTTATATTGCTATTCGTTTATTAAGTAGAGTATATTGATTACAAATATTTCCGAGTAATGGTATAATGTAAATAAGTGGGTGATTTTTCTCCTCAAATCGAATTGCGGTCGAATATTAAAAAATCATATTAGTGCAGACAAGTTGACCTATATTCTATCAGATCTCTTCTCTCAAACCTTTTCGAGAATCGAGATAGGTCTGGAAGGTTGAAATTGTGCAAGGAATAACGAATATATTACCAGACAGAAAGAAGCATAAGTTTCTATGCAATATTTTGAAATATTTAATCCCTCTAAGAATTCTCAAGACGGTAAAATATGGTTTACACGAGAAATCCCTTAGTTTAAAGCTAGTATAAATTTCAATATTCTCCTCTTTTCCATTGGGGGATTCTACCTACTTACCTTTCATATGCATAACTCCTTAATGTTATGAGGCATATTATATTTTTTGAGAGCCTATAAATATTATAAATGTATGAATTGTACGAATATGTTTAAGTTTGAGTATTGATGAGTTTAATTGAATCAAACTTTATAAAAATCATAGTACAATTCAAAGAACAAATACAGAATTACTCGGACCAACTGATAACTTTACCTAGCGATTAAAGCAACTAAAATATTATATTAAAGAAACATTTATTGATGGCTATAAAAGTTAACAATTTAAATATTAAAATATAATTTTATTTAATTAAAAGATATAATAAATTCGCATGTCAATTTAAATTATCGCTTGTTTAATGATTTTCCTTTTTTTTATTTATAAAAATAAATAAATCAGTGGCGCTACAACCTCTTTATGTCTGGGCCTCAGATTTCTGAATCTGTTTCATGATCATTTTTAAATCTAATAGACAAGCCTCCAGTGCCTGACACACGCCGTCGACTTTTTGGGTCTAAGACATGTCGGTTTCCTCACGATGTTTTCCTTCACCGTTCGAGCTTATGTTAAATGGGCACATAGAAAGAAAGTCCATTATATCAAGAAATCATTTATTGTATGACTGTATGTATATGTTATACGACGTTATAAAACATTCTTGGAAATATAATAAAAAGAGCACTAAGTCGTTTCCCAAAAAATTCAATATCAATATATTTGCTTTGTATTCATGTTTATTTTGCGAATTAATCTCTCCCTTGTAAATAATCCTTTAAATTAAGCAAACACACCCTACAAACATTATATTGTTGGGAGCGAACACTGAGCATACGTATAAGTTTATTTAGGACTCCGCCAATAAAACTTGATCTGATTTACTTGAAATTTTCACTTTACCGAAAAAACTTGATATTGACGAACGGAATCGAATTAAACGAACGGTTGATCACCAATTTTGTGTCAACCAATTGATTATACCTATAATTATTTTTCGGCCCTTAAATTGGGCAATTAGGTACTATGAACTTTTGAATGTGCAATAGTGGAATTGAAAAATATTTGGGTTTTAGCGCTTATATGACGTAAACGGACCAAGTTCTGTTATACTGACTGGTATGGTGCCTATGGACGTGTCCTGAAAAGGTATTTACATACATGTCCTATAAAAATGTTTTGATATGAATATCATCAATCCTTTTCACAAAACACACTATATACACACACTTAAAACAATATTTTCATCAAAAACAGTATGAAAAGCTACGTCAGTTTAATAAATTAAATATAGTTCTTTAATTTTTCGAAAAAATGTGTATTAGGGTTTTATAACATAAAACAGTGTGTTTAAAAATAAAACTTAATCAATATACTATCACAAAACATAAGTTTATAAAAAAATATATTTATAAAATAAATATACAAATAAATATGTCTGAATTGAAAAATTCGGCCCCACATGGAATACTGTTCTCACCTCTGGGCGGGAGCTCCCCAGTACCAGCTCCTTCCACTTGAACGTATTCAACGAAGAGCGGTTCGAATCGTCGACGACCAGTCACTTTCCGTGCGGCTTGATCCTTTGGCGTTGCGTAGAGATGTGGGGACTCTCTGCATCTTCTACCGCATTCACCATGGAGAGTGTTCAGAGGAGTTGTTCGGTCTAATACCTGCAGCTAAGTTTAGTCATCGGACGTCAAGGCCAAATACAAAATACCATCCGTATCGTCCGTCGTTCCACTACTGAGCGTTTTCTAAGGCAGTTTTTGCCGCGCACCACCACTATGTGGAACCAGCTGCCCATTGACGTATTCCCGAACCAATTCGACTTAAGGTCCTTCAAGAAAAGAGCGTACCAATTCTTGAAAGGCCGGCAACGCACTTGAGAGCCTTCTGCCAGTGTGAGTGTCCATGGGCGGCGGTATCAATTAACATCAGGTGAGCCTCCTGCCCGTTTGCCTCCTATTACATTTTAAAATATATAAAAAAATTGTTGTTCGTTTGTCTCGCTAAAACTCGAGAATGGTCGGACCGATTTGGCTTAATTATTATGATGTTGAAGTATTTATGGAAGTTCCGGGAAGGTTTCGACGGTGGCAAACATTAGTAATAAGTAAAGGAAAATACAAAAAACGACAATTGAATTTTCTAACAAAAACTAACTGGGAAATATTTGATGTCTTTTTAGAAATAAAAAATTGTCACTTGGTTGTCACATATTCCTTCAGAAATTTGTGTTTCATAGCTTTAGTATGAGGTCCGATCTCTTTGGTCTAATTTTTTTTTTATTAAGTGTTAACACAAATAAGTAAGTAATACGAAGTTCACCAGGTCATCTAGTACTATATACTAATAATACGAGCGTAAAAACTCACGTATGTCATCCTTAATACTACTGTTCAGTATAGATAAGATTACGGCGTAAACGTATGTCAGTACGTTACAGACGTGTGCTCGACATGCTAATGCCTAATCAAGCTGATATGTAGATCCCGGGGCTCTGAAACTGGCATTTCATCGGCAAATTGAATAACACTTTTTTTATTACAATATTTGCGAAGATTGACACGAAATGTCGTTTTCGACAACATTTCGTGTCAATCTTCAATAAATCTTTCAAGAAAAGAGAGTGCCAATTCTTAATAGGCCGTCAACGCACTTGCGAGCCCTCTGGCATTGGGTGTCGATGGGCTGCGGTATCACTGAACATCAGATGAGCCTTCTATACTATCCCCCCCCCCAAAAAGAGAGGGGGGGGGGGGGGGGGGGGGGGGGGGGGGGGGGGGGGGGGGGGGGGGGGGGGGGGGGGGGGGGGGGGGGGGGGGGGGGGGGGGGGGGGGGGGGGGGGGGGGGGGGGGGGGGGGGGGGGGGGGGGGGGGGGGGGGGGGGGGCGGGGGGGGGGGGGGGGGGGGGGGGGGGGGGGGGGGGGGGGGGGGGGGGGGGGGGGCCGCGGCCCCCGGCGGGCGCCCCCCGGCGGGGGGGGGGGGGGGGGGGGGGGGGGGGGGGGGGGGGGGGGGGGGGGGGGGGGGGGGGGGGGGGGGGGGGGGGGGGGGGGGGGGGGGGGGGGGGGGGGGGGGGGGGGGGGGGGGGGGGGGGGGGGGGGGGGGGGGGGGGGGGGGGGGGGCGAGCCGGGGGGGGGGGGGGGGGGGGGGGGGGGGGGGGGGGGGGGGGGAGGAAAAAAAAAGAGGGGGGGGGGGGGGGGGGGGGGGGGGGGGGGGGGGGGGGGGGAGAGAAAAAAGGGGGGGGGGGGGGGGGGGGGGGGGGGGGGGGGGGGGGGGGGGGGGGGGGGGGGGGGGGGGGGGGGGGGGGGGGGGGGGGGGGGGGGGGGGGGGGGGGGGGGGGGGGGGGGGGGGGGGGGGGGGGGGGGGGGGGGGGGGGGGGGGGGGGGGGGGGGGGGGGGGGGGGGGGGGGGGGGGGGGGGGGGGGGGGGGGGGGGGGGGGGGGGGGGGGGGGGGGGGGGGGGGGGGGGGGGGGGGGGGGGGGGGGGGGGGGGGGGGGGGGGGGGGGGGGGGGGGGGGGGGGGGGGGGGGGGGGGGGGGGGGGGGGGGGGGGGGGGGGGGGGGGGGGGGGGGGGGGGGGGGGGGGGGGGGGGGGGGGGGGGGGGGGGGGGGGGGGGGGGGGGGGGGGGGGGGGGGGGGGGGGGGGGGGGGGGGGGGGGGGGGGGGGGGGGGGGGGGGGGGGGGGGGGGGGGGGGGGGGGGGGGGGGGGGGGGGGGGGGGGGGGGGGGGGGGGGGGGGGGAGGGGGGGGGGGGGGGGGGGGGGGGGGGGGGGGGGGGGGGGGGGGGGGGGGGGGGGGGGGGGGGGGGGGGGGGGGGGGGGGGGGGGGGGGGGGGGGGGGGGGGGGGGGGGGGGGGGGGGGGGGGGGGGGGGGGGGGGGGGGGGGGGGGGGGGGGGGGGGGGGGGGGGGGGGGGGGGGGGGGGGGGGGGGGGGGGGGGGGGGGGGGGGGGGGGGGGGGGGGGGGGGGGGGGGGGGGGGGGGGGGGGGGGGGGGGGGGGGGGGGGGGGGGGGGGGGGGGGGGGGGGGGGAAAAGGAGAGGGGGAGGAGGGGGGGAGAGAAAAAAAAAAAAAACGCGGCCCCGGGGCCGCGGCCGGGAGGGGGGGGGGGGGGGGGGGGGGGGGGGGGGGGGGGGGGGGGGGGGGGGGGGGGGGGGGGGGGGGGGGGGGGGGGGGGGGGGGGGGGGGGGGGGGGGGGGGGGGGGGGGGGGGGGGGGGGGGGGGGGGGGGGGGGGGGGGGGGGGGGGGGGGGGGGGGGGGGGGGGGGGGGGGGGGGGGGGGGGGGGGGGGGGGGGGGGGGGGGGGGGGGGGGGGGGGGGGGGGGGGGGGGGGGGGGGGGGGGGGGGGGGGGGGGGGGGGGGGGGGGGGGGGGGGGGGGGGGGGGGGGGGGGGGGGGGGGGGGGGGGGGGGGGGGGGGGGGGGGGGGGGCGGGCCGCGCGGCGCGGGGGGG